TGAGGACGGTCACTGTGAGGATGGTCACTGTGAGGGGACGGTCACTGTGAGGGGATGGTCACTGTGAGGATAGTCACTGTGAGGGGACGGTCACTGTGAGGGGATGGTCACTGTGAGGATGGTCACTGTGAGGGGATGGTCACTGTGAGGGGACGGTCACTGTGAGGGGACGGTCACTGTGAGGGGGATGATCACTAGTCATGGGCTCAGGAGCTTCAGAACTGAATGCTGAGGAAGGAGGACAGCTGCATCTCCCTGAGCCACAAGAAGGGAAGTGGGGAATTTCATAGATTGAAAAAGCCTTATAACCAAAAGCAGTCTTATAGGCCTGTCTGAATCCTTGTTAAAATGAACCAAATGAGAAAATTCTGAGAACGTCTGGGAAATTTAGACACAGGAAACGTTTGATGATCTTAGGGAACTATGCTTAAGGCTTTGTGATTTAGCGATTCATGCTGAATATTCAGTGATAAAATATATTACAATAAGTTCAGTGGACTTGAAGGAAAAACAAAACCAAGATTAAACCTGAATAATGCACACACAGGAGTTCGCTCCTCTTTTTCTGCTCTTATGTATGTTCAAAAACTTCTATAATGCCCGGCAGTGGTGGTGCACGCCTTTAATCGCAGCACTCAGGGAAGCAGAGGCACGTGCATTTCTGTGAGTTTGAGGCTAGCCTGATCTACAGAGCAAGTTCTAGGACAGCCAGAGATACACAAAGAAACCCTATCTCGAAGAAGAAAAAAACAAAACCTTCTATAATAATTGTTTACCTACAAGCATGAATGAAAAAAGACTAATACTTTTGCTGCAATCATAATTACAAAATAATATACTTGGGCTGGCAAGATGGTTCAGCTGGTAAAAGGCTTGCTGTCCAGACTGACAGAACCCTGAGTTGATTCCTGGGACCCAAGTGGAGCAAGGAGAGAACTGACTCCTAAGAGTTATACTCTGACCTCCCGGACCACACACAAATACATGCAATTTTAAGATGTAATACTGAATTTATATGTTGCAAATTGTGACTCTAAACTGTCATAAACACGCAAATAGCATAAGTCAATGAACTAATCTGTTGGGTGTCTTTTCCATGTGAGGCAGGGTCAGGAAGCAGTAAGAAGTCTATTTCCTACAGTGTGTGTCTCCATTGCCCGAGCCGGTTTACAACAACGTGTATGCTGCTTCCACTCGTTCCTTTGCAAAAACTAAGGCGCACTTGCTCAAGTGCTGACCCTCACTGCCTAGCAGCTCTGCCTGCCTCATTTCTAATGGCTTTTTCAGGCGCTAGAGATCAACTGGTAAGTCGCACACCAAGGAAAGGCTCTACCAATGAGCAGTCTTCTCTACCTCACACCTGAGGAATGGGTTGACCTTTTCACTTGGCCCCGCACCCCCTCCTCTGATGTCACAGCATCTCATTCATATTAACTGCCCGTGTCCCTCAGCCTTCTCACAAACAGATCTGGATGAAGTATGGCATCTAACATTTTCCAAGTGGGCACAGTATAAAACCTGTTCATAGTTCAGGACTTCAAAGACATCGACAGGAAAACATAAGCTATGTCAGGTCCAAAACACAGCATACTAAGAGTCTTCTAAGGAATCTTTTACGCTGGGCGATGGTGGTGCACGCCTTTAATCCCAGCACTAGGGAGGCAGAGGTATGTGGATCTCTGTGAGTTCGAGGCCAGCCTGGTCTACAAGAGCTAGTTCCAGGACAGGCTCCAAAACCACACAGAAACCTTGTCTGGGGGGGGGGGGGGGAAGGAACCTTTTACGTGAATGGCTACAGGGATAATAAAGCTAGATACAAAAACAGAAAGTAGGCCAGTCACGGTGGTGCACTCCTTTAATCTCAGCATTTGGGAGAAAGAGGCAGGCAGGGCTCTGTGAGTTTGAGGCCAGTCTGGTCTATATAGTTCCGAAACAGCCAGAGATACACAGTGAGTCCCTATCTCAAAAAGACAAAACAACAACAACAAATATATGTAGTGCATATAATTCTATATTTTTGTCAAATTGGGAGCCATATATATTAAAAATATATATATTCTGGAAAAATATAAATATTCTAGAATCTTCGTTCGCTGGTTCCCATTTTAAAATAACTATTGTTTTGTAAAGCAAATGTCATAATAGTTTGTGGTTTTTTAAGGTTTCAAAATTATAGCACTTCTGTATTTAGGAGTTCTTACTCTAACACCAACTTCTTTCAAAGCCCCAAGAATCCACCTTCTATATCAAACCCATGCACAGACACCATGTACAAAGCTTCTGAGAGAGTATTATTTCAAAAAGAGTATACACTGATATACACAAACTACAAGGGAATCCTTGTTTCTTTTT